GCACACGCCTTTAATCCTAGCATTCCAGAGGCAGAAATCCATGTGTTCAAGGATACAGACAGGCATGGTGACTCATCACGCCTTTAATCCCAGAAAGGAGCCTTTAATCCCAGGGAGTGGTGGTAGAAAGTAGAAAGGCGTGAGGACCAGAAACTTGAGGCATTTGGCTGGTTAGGCATTTGGCTGGTTAAGCTTTCAGGCTTCTAGCAGCACAGTTCAGCTGAGAGCCATTCGGATATGAGGACACAGAGGCTTCCAGTCTGAGGAAACAGGACCAGCTGAGGAATTGGCCAGGTGAGGTTAGCTGTGGCTTGTTCTGTCTCTCTGACCATCCAGCATTTCACCCCAATAACTGGCCGCAGGTTTGATTTTATTAATAAGACTAAGATTCATGCTACATGTCACACTTGCTAAATTTGCCTCTAACTAAATACATGTGCAAGTGACACAATTCTGAGACATAAGAGGGGTATAACATGCATTTGGAACAATTAGCCAGTCTATCAGAGAACACGTGTCCTTCTGCTGGTCAAGAGTCCTCAAAGTCCTAACAGGGTCATCTCCTCTGGTCACATGCAAATGATTTCAACAATTTCCTATTCCTGTTGTTGGGACGGCTCAGTAGAAGCACTTGCTACCAAGTTTGATGATCTGAGTTCCATCCCCAGGAGGCACATGGTAGGAGAGACCTCACTCCTGTGGCGGTCCTCTGATATCCACACAGAGAAATATACATTTTAAAAGTTTTTTTTTTTTTAAAAAAAAAACAACTTTATATTTGAGTTACAAGCATCCAGAGTAGCCAGAGAAGGTGTAAAGCATTTGTAATACTCTTCTGGGATGGCTCAACATTCCAAGTGAAAATATAGTACAAACTTAATAATTTATGCCAGTGCATTCAGCTGACTTCTGACTCCAGGAGAGTAACGGAGTGTACCTTCAAATATTTGTAAGTTCAGACGATAACTGCCTTTAGAAAGCAGAGAATGTGAGGGGGCAGAGAAGCTATGGATGCTAATGAAGAGCACTTGCAAAAACAAATGGGCTAAGAGCTCTTACAAAGTTTGACCTGGGTCGCTTCTGTATTAATATATTTCCTTTTATTATTGAGACAAGGTCTGGAACTCACTATGTAGACCAGGCTGACCCTGAACTTAGAAATCTGCTTGCCTCAGCCTCCTAAGTGCTTGGATTAAAGGTGTGCACCACCACACTTAGCTTGTAATGCATTTTAATACTTTTTCTTGCTATAGAGGTGAGCTTCAACCCTAAATTGGTTAAACCTCAATTAACACATTCAACATTAATTGATTTTTTTCCTTTTTTTTTTGGTTTTTGGAGATAAGGTTTCTCTGTGTAGCTTTGTGCCTTCCCTGGATTTCGCTCTGTAGACCAGGCTGGCCTCGAACTCACAAAGACCTGCCTGCCTCTGCCTCCCAAGTGCTGGGATTAAAGGCGTGCGCCACCACCGCCTGGCTTTTCTATATTCTTTACATGACTTGCTTTTAGTCACAGTGTTGTTCGGTGACTTCACATTTCATTGTCTTTTTTTTTTTTCTTTCGGATTTTGCACATATGAATGTGTACTGTGTGAGTGCCTAGGAATTACAGATGGTTGTGGATCACCATGTGGGTGCTGGGAACCAAAGCTAGTCCTTTGTAAGAGCAGCAGCTGCTCTTAACCACTTGGCCATCTCCCCAGCCCTCCCGCTGTCTTCTTGCTATCGTTTTCTTGAGTGTTTCATGTAACTCAGGCTAGCCTCAAACCCACTAGGGAGCCAAAGACGGCTCTGAACTTGGACTCTCTTGCTCTCATCTCCTGAGTACTGGGATTATAGGTGTGCATCATGACGCCCACTTACTTTTCCTTTTTTCAATTTTGTACACATAGGCGTTTTGTCCGCATGTGTACATGTGTACCACATGTGCCTGGTGCCCACAGAGATGAGAAAAGGGCCTCAGTTCCCCTGGGACTGAAATTATAGATGGTTGTGAGCCATCATGTAGGTGCTGGGATCTAACCTAGGTTCTCTCCAGGAGCAACAGCCGCTCTAAATGGTGAGCCATCTCTCCAGTCTTACTTTTTTTTTTTTTTTTAAAAAAATAGCCATATTTTATTTTATTTAAAACTTTCTTATATGTATGGGTGTTTTTCATGGATGTACGTTTGTGCACCGTGTGTGTGCCTGATGCCCTTGGAGGCCAGAAGACATCAGATCCCCTGGAACTGGTGTTTTAGACAGTTGTGAACAGTCACCTGGGTGCCAGGAACTGAACCCAAGTCCCCTGGAAGAGCAGCTAGTGCTCTAAATTGCTGAGCCAGCTCTCAAGTCCTACTTAAATTTTAATACAGGGTCAGGTAGCCCAGGCTGGCCTCAAGCTTGCTATACAGCAGAGGATGCCCTTGAACTCCTGATCCTCCTGCTTCCACGCTGGGACATAGGCTACCATGCCTGACTTCTTGGAACAGGGTGTTGCCAAAGCCCAGGCTGCTGCAAATCCAGTGATTTGCTTCCAGAGTTCTGCTGCTAGTAGAGACAGGCATGAGTCACCATGGCCAGTTGGTTACTTTTTTAAAAAAATGACCTGTAATAACTATTTTTGGTTAATAGTGCTTTTTCTCCATGACCAACTCATTAACAAGGTAACTATTCAATCATTAAGGCATTTTTTTTTTTTTTAATAAGTCACCTAGGTTAGCCAGATGGCTCCTTGGGTAAAAGTGCCGAGCCTGAAGACCTGACTTCAATCCCTGAGTCCCACATGGTAGGAGAGCAGACTCTTGAACGTTTTCCTCTGATCTCCAGGCACGTGAAGTAGCACATGACCCTCCCACCCCGGCCACACAAAAATAAATGTAATATACACTCTTAAAACCCAATGTTTCATTAAGCAATAGAAAATTATGAGTAACTTTTTAGATCTTGGACCTCAACACTTCTTGGCTATTCAAATCAAAATGCAGACATCTTCACATTGTTACCATGGGTTTCAAAAAAATAAGTTACTTCTAAAAGCTATTTATATGTAAGGACAGAAGAGCACACAAGCAAGCTGGAACCTTTCCACATCATTGTCTCTGGGATCCGAGCAGCAGAGGCCTGGTGTGAGCGGAAGAGCCTGATGGCCGGGGTCCAGTCTAGATGCTTCGGGCTGAGGAACAAGAAGTTGAACTGTGCATACATTAGCTTGACTCATAAAAACCAAAGGGTCTCCTTCAGAGACTGAACAGGGCTAAGAGCTAAAACCTCAGCAGCCATGGGGTGGGTATTTCTAAAACAGGACTTCTCAACATGTCAGAAGAGTTAAGGAAGTTGGAGAGATGGCTCAGCAGTTAGGAGCACTTGTGGCTCCTGCACAGGACCCAAGTACATGTCCCAGTACCTATATGTCAGTTCACAGGCACCTGTAACTTGAGTTCTAGAAGGATCCAATGTTCTCTTCCAGCCTCCTTGGGCGACTGCACATACGCGCGCGCGCGCGCACACACACACACACACACACACACACACACACACACAAAACCTTCAGCCAGGCAGTGGTGGCACAGGCCTTTAATCCCCGCACTTGGGAAGCAGAGGCAGGCAGATCTCTGATTTTGAGGCCAGCCTGGCCTCAAGAGTGAGTTCCAGGATAGCCCAGGCTACACAGTGAAATCCTGTCTCGGAAACAAAACAACCAAACAAAAAATAAAATAAAATAAAACCTTCAAAAGGCAGGGTGCCAGAGACACTCATTGCTCTCATTTTTGAGAAGCGGCTGCTCATTGGTTTGGGGTGCTTTTGGTGGCTTCCTTAGAGGAAGGTGCCCTTAATTTGAAAACCACTCCTTTTTGCAGGGGCTCAAAACTTGATTTGTATCTAATTCTTTCTCAGTAGGAATCAAACCCTGTTGCAGACCATCTATCCCTCCTCACCTAAAGCCTGCTGTAGGTTCAGTCCTTAAGGGGGAACTGCACCTGTTTCCTGTCCATATAAAAGTTCTTCCAAGAGCCCTCGAGGCGCGGCCTCTCGTGCTACCTTCCCGAAATGCAGATATATTCGGAGCAGTATTACTACTATAATACACAATAAAACTATAATAACCCTGTAAATAATAATTACACATTCATTGTGTATATATACCCAAGTCTTACAGGGCAAATGGCTGAGCTGTCTTCCTGTTTCTTAATAAAACCACCAAAGTCCTATTAAAACTTTCTTAGATAAACTACAAGAGAACTTTCTTCCTTCAACATGTACTAGCAAGAGGGCAATACTCAAAGTGCCTTGATATTTAAGCTTCTACATGCCCCGACATCCGGTGAATGATGACATCTTTCAGTTTTGTGACACTAAATACAAAAGCTGTTATTCAACATGTAAAGGTGTGATGCTCCAAAAATAAGGTACATTTAATACTTTCAGTGATGAGGTAACCTCTTTTTTTTTCTATTATAATTTAGTCTCTAGTACTTTGGTTTCTCTTCAGATCATATGAAATGCCTGCCTTTTCATAACTTTGTTTCTGTATATTCTCCGTGAAGGGTGTGTGTGGGGGTGTGAGTTCCAAGTAGTTCTCTTCTGTCCTTGTCACGTGAGCCCTTTGCTTCTACTTATCAGAGAATGGGGCACCGCTCTGCTTAGATGGACTCTGAAGGAGTTATTTCTGCAGAAAGGACTCTCCCACAATTCTGCTGTTAGCAGGGACCTCAACTATGGTTCAAAGTTTAAGTAGCAAATGAGCATTTACCATCCCAAAGAATATGAATTTCAAGACTCCTGCTATATAGATTCTGCACACCATACCCTCTAATATATTTGTGATGAAAAGTTATTGCTTTAAAAACGCTACCTATCATATCTGGAAATACCAACCGATTCAATGGCAAAGAGGAGTCCCCTGTGTTTCAGAAGGGAACCAATACAATTGAAAAATTCCAATTACACAGTCTTTGTATAGGTTAACAAAATCTAAAGATAAGAAATGTTAAATGAACAACTTAAAACAATTATGCCATATTCACCCAGATGACATGTTTTTATTTCGTACTTCCAGTTACTTAGAATATTTATCGGCTTTCAAATTCATTTATTATTTGATCTAAAAGAACTTACTGAATAAAATGCTCAGTTCCAATGTATTCACAAAGATAAAACTACCTCGGGGTATTTGCGGAAGAGTGTAGACGAAGAGAAACAGACACTACGATACAGTTGTGTGGATGACGTTAAACATGTGTCCCTGTTGACAGTCATCCCCGTGATTTGTCCACAGCCACAGATATCCACGCAGTGCATTAGGTCCCAGGGTTGCCCATAGGAAGCTGGAAACCCAGTGGGAACCAGGGCTTTTAAGGTCTCTTAAAAACGTAACGTGGTCGAACAAAAAACAAAACCCAAAGCAACCAAAAGACCTCGATAAGTGTTCCAGTTAGCGACTCCTTGGCAACTCAGACGTAACCAAACGACTCTGGTGGGCGATTAGAATGAAACGTGCAACGCTCTCTCTCAACAAAACCTATAAAGCCCGTAAATTATGTTCGGCTCTGAGAATCGGCACTTACTAGCACCTTCCTTTCGCATTTTTTAATATTCTATACAGTTCTGCATCCGCGGCCTTTTCATTCAATTATTGCCCTACACAAGGTCTCTGGTGGCTCTCGGGGAATCGCTTCTTTTAAGGCTGCCCTGGCAGGACATCAGAATGCCAAGCCTCTGGGTCGCGATCCCGCCCTCGCTCCTCGGAAGGTGGGAACATCATGCGCTTAGACTTGCTTATTTAATTGCAGGGATGGAAGTAGACCCAGTCCGAAGGGATGCGCCGAGTGGGCAGCCCAGGGTGTGATCTGTCCTTCCTGCGCTCCCAGAATGCGCGCCCTCCCTGGGCCTGCCCGGCGCCCGCGCGCCCCAGGCCTCGTCCGCCCGCCAAGCACCTAGAGGATGCCCCCGCCCCTCCCGCGTCCACGCACCTGCGGCCCCGCCCCCGGCCACGAACCTTCAGGTCCACGCACCTGCCCTGCCTTCCCTCCCGCCCCCCGCGCGCAGCCACCAAGCTGCAGCCGCGCTCCTCCTCGGCCGCCCGGGTATCTAAAGGGGTCCGTCTCCGGCACCACAGCCAAATGGCTGAGCCTCCCTGGCCCGCTGCGCAGGCCGCCCATTGGACCCTGCCCCCCGCCGCCGCCGTCACCATTGGCTGGCATCCGGAGCCTCGCCACTCGATTGGCTCGTGCTGCCGCCGCTCCACGCCGGAGCCGCAGGTCCCGCCTTCACGGCGATCAGGTTAGTGTGCGCCGCGGGTGCTGGGGGCTCGAGAACCGAGCGGAGCTGGTTGAGCCTTCAAAGTCCTAAAACGCGCGGCCGTGGGTTCGGGGTTTATTGATTGAATTTCGCTGGCGCAGGATCCTCTGCAGAGAGAGAGCGCGAGAGATGGATATGGACAAACGGATTCATTTAGAGCTGCGGAACAGGACGCCCTCTGATGTGAGCATTTGCCAAAAATATCTCTGTCGGTCCATTCTCCTACTTTGTGTTATGTGTGCGTGTGTGTTTGGGGGGAAGGCACTTTTTTTAATGGAGGGGGGTCCGGGGTGATGTAGGGCTTGGGGTCGGACTGCAAATGAATTGCAAGGTTGGATTGGGGGGGGGGGTTGCAATGCCATCGGAGCATGTTCTGGCCACCGCCGCCGCTGCCCTTGGTGTATGACTACCTGTGCGTGTGCTCCCGCGTGTGCGGGTATGGGTGCGAGGGTGTGCGTGCGAGTGTGCACCCAGCTGGGGGCCGGCGGGGCGCACGCGTTCGGGTCGGAGGGAACGCGGCGATCTCACCCTCGTCCGAGCTCTCAGCTCCCACGACTCGCGTCTGGATGGAAAAGATGATCGAGGGGAGGAGATGGGCTGCCTCCTGGATTAAACAACAAAAAAGGGGTGTTATATTTTAGAAACGTACCCCCCTTTCCGCCCCCTCCCGCGCCTGCCCCCTCCCTTTGCCGTCTCTCTTTCGCTCGCTCGTTCTCTCGCACACAATAAGTTTTGGGATTCGCGGGTCCGGTTTAGTTTCTGATCAATGTGGCCCAAGGCCCCCGGGGAGAGCGCGTGGGGACCCGGCTGCTGCGGAGTTGGGAGATGGCTCGAGTTTAAAGCGCGTCTTCGTTTCTCTGCGGGGATGAGGCGAGAGGTGGGGAGCCATATTTGTAACTTTGTCGTGTTCGTGAACGCGCCCTTTCTCTCCCTCCCTCCCTTTCTCTGCCTGCCTTCCTTCTTCTCCTTTCTCTCTCACTCTTTCCACCCCACCTTTGGGCCAGATGCTGTCTTTTCTCCCTTCTTCCTCGCGGAAAGGGGGGGGGGGGTTACCTTAGGAGGAGGGGGAGGGATTGTGGAGTGTGCAAATGCTCAGATAATCCTCACGCCTCCCCAACCACGAGCGATCGCTAGTGTAAGTTGCCCGAAGGCTGCGTCCCGGTGAGCCCCTGGCCCCCGGCTTCCTCCCCAGATGCCAGCCTTGGCACCCTGATGCCCCATCGGCACCAGCTACCCCACCTCCGGATCCCTGCTTCTCCCGGGGTGGGCTCCCTGGCAGCCGTTCGGCTCCTGGTTAATAAATGGGCACGGGAAACTTTATCAGGACCCGAGGTGCCCAGAGCTGGTGCTGCTGTGGGGACTGGCCCGGTCTACATTCTTGCGGGCACGGCTGGCACGCAGCTCTGGGATGGGCAGTTCGTCTGGCCGTCGCCGTTATGGATTGGGCAGCGGCGGGAGTATGGCAGGAGGAAACTTACACCGGTGGGAACAGGCAGGCTGGGCGCGAGCCCACTGCTAGGGGAAGTGAGGGTGGGTGGGTGACTCGAACGCTCCTGTTTATTTTTGTCTCCCTCTCGCTTTCACACACTCGTGTTGTCCCTACGAGTTGGCCCATCCGAGAGACCCTAGGGTCTGGGGTGGAAACCCTGGCCGACTTCCCCTCAAGGCCCGGTCGTGGGGAGAAGGGTCTCGCGGGCGGGAAGATCCCAGGTCTAGCCTAGGTGTCTGGGGTTCGGGCGAGTTGGGGGCTCGCGCAGCACGTTGCGCTGACCTGTCGCCCCCCAGTCACTTGGCCCCTCGAATCCTGACAAAGGCAGGCCTCGTTTCCTCTTTTCCCCTAGTTCCTCCCTCCAAACCTGAGTAAGACTTTTGAAAACAAGCTCCTTTTCTGCCGTCCGCCCATCCTCACGCAGCTGTGCACTGGAGACGTGCTACAGCCTTATGGCGCGCAGGGCGGGGAGGAGGGGGCGCCGCCGGCAGCAGGACTTGCCGCGGGGCTACCGGGTTCGGCCGGTGGCGTCCCGACCCAGTCCCCGTGCCCGATCCCGGGGGTGGAGGGGGCTGGGTGTGGTGCTGGGGGAGGGGGCCGGACGCGGGCTTCCCGCGTACTTTCCGGAAGACCCCTGTACGTAGTTGGGGGGCTCCGGGGTCGCGGCGAGTAGGTGCGCATAAGCGCTGGGCCGGCCCGAGCGATCCACAGTACTAGCCAACCCCGAGCGAAACGGAAAGCGGGTCGAACCGGCTCTTTAAACTTCCCCGAGTGTGTGCGCTGGGGGAGGGGCGGGCGCTCTGGGCTGGGCGCGATTTCTCACGCTTCGCCCCCTCGCCGTGAGTCCGCGGCCCACTCGCCGGCCCCGGGGCTCCCGGCGGGGTGGGGCGCGCGGGTGGCGGGGGAGGGGGCACTTGCTGCGCATGGGGGAGGGGAGGGCAGAAAGCTCTCGAAAGAGGGACAAAAGGGGTGGGGGAGGAGGAACTGGCTTTTTTTGTTGTTGTTTTTCTGGTTTTTTGTATTTTCAAATAAACGTTTTTGGAAAACAGATCGTTCCGGGGAGCCTCCCTCCCCACAGTCCCGTCCCCCCGCCGCCCCCACGCACCCACCTTCTGCAACCTCTCTCCCAAGTCGCATCTCGGGGACTGGTGGCCGCGACGCCGCCGAACTAGGACGAGCAGCCATGTTTCCCGGGGCGCCGGCGGCCCGCCCCTCCCCCACGGCGGCCGCGGACCCGGCTCGGCGGGGACCCGGGTGCCCAGCGGAGGGGACCCGGGCGCGCACAGGCGCAGCAGAAGCTCGGCGGCGCGGGCCTGGGGATTGGGTCTAGAGAGGGCGAGGCGGCCCGGGGGCTCTCGACCGGCTCGGACCTGCGGGCCCCTGTCCTCGTCATTTGCACTGCTAGGCCGGCGGGAGACCCAGCCCCAGGGTGCCTGGCATTCTCGGGGTGCAGGGGCGGCCGTCCCCGGCTCTGCGCCGGTGGCTCGCCTGTCGGGCACCGAGCTGCCATTTTGTCACCATGGCTGTTGTCGTGCTTGGGGGGGGGGCGAGAGGCTTACGCCATCGCCCCGACGGCCGCCCTCCAGCGAGGTGGCTTCTGGGGGAGCTGGCCCCAGGGACACCCCCACCCCACTTTCGCATTCGGTCTTACGGGGGCTCCCACCCCGCGCCTGGGGTCCGAGGATCCCGAAGCTATCGAAGCCCTGAGAAGGTGACGGTCTCCTTAGCAAGCGCCCCCCCCTTCCTCATCGACTCCCTGCCCCCCCCTCCCCCGCCCTCTGCTCGGTTTTCCGCGGTGGCTCCCGCTGCGCTCTGCACGTAGTGAAAGGTGGCCTTGAAGGCGAAGCGATTGCTCTGGTGTTTGCGCCTTCGGCGGAAATGATAGGGTGGTGTTTGGGGGGTGGGGGTGAAACTGGAGGGCGGGAGGGGCTCAGGCTCGCCAGTCTAGTGGCCCTAACTGAAGTCGAGGGCGTCGGCCTCCTACCCGGGAGGGACAAGTTGTTGGGATGCGCTGGGGAAACGCCCTCCGGGGCTGGGCTCTCGGGAAAGGTTGGTCGAGTTTCAGGTGGGTGTCGCAGCACCCTGCAGGCTGGGGGAGCTCTCTCGCTATTTATCCTTTGCCCCCCCCCCCCGCCTTTTTTTCTTTTTGTTTTGGTGGGGAAGGTAGCTAACTACATACTAACCGCCACCCTAAACCGAAAGAGAAATAGGACTTTCCTTTAAAAAAAAAGAAAGAAAGAAAAGTAAACTGTCTTTTTGTGTTGACTTAAGACTCAGGCAATTTGTTCCCAATGCTGGTCCGGATGTGGGACTCAAGCGTGTGGTAGGCACCTCCCTGGCTGTAGGCTGGTGTCTGCATGCAGAGACTTAACTTCCATGGAAGTGGCCGGCAAAGGCTGCCATCCGAGCCAGCTTCTACTTTGACCTCTGGAATGCATTGCGTGTTTTTTTTTCCAGGCTGACTTACTGCCTAATTGGGTTCAAGTGGCCCGGTATTTGCTCCAATTTATGCAAGCCAAGCGGAGATTCAGGAGCAGAGAACTGAGTGAGACCTTGGTGTGGTGAGGATCAGTTAAGTCTTGTGACTGGCGGCCGAGGCTGCTTGTTTTGAATCTGAGGTTCCATGGTGAATCTGAAGCCACACGGACCTGGGTTTGAAATTGACCAGCTACACGGAGGTGGGGTCCTAACCTGTGGTTTGGGACAGGTTAACTCAGTTTGCCTCCAAAGCTTTGCACATACGTCCTGTAAGATGGGGACGGTGCTGCTTTCTCAGTAAGTGACAAAATGGTTCGATTTGGCCCGTAGCAGGTGCATCGTTTAGTCTCAGAAGCTGGGGAACGGTGAGGGATAACTTCAGGCGTCCTGGAGGTTTAAAATAACTAACAACTCCAACAATCATAGCGGATGCTTACATAGCCTCTTACTGTGTCTGGCATGTTGCTAAGTGGATTACACACACCAGCTAATTTATCCTCACAAGGGCACTGTGTTAAGGACCGTTGTTATTCTTATAGTAAATGTAAGGAAATTGAGGCAGAGCTCCAGGTCACCGCCAGTGCAGGACCCAGATTCTAACTCGTCGGACAGACTCAGCTTCTGTACTGCCTTGAAGCACCAGGACTAGTTAGTTGTATTTTTGGAAAGCACCATGGGGAAGGGCTTTTTTCTCCTTCAGCCTTGGAGTTATGCCACCTTATTAGCGAGAGGAGGGTGGGTTTGGGTTTGTTGGTATTGCGGACATTGAAACAAAGCATGGCTTCCTGTTGAAGCTTTAGATGGGGTCAGACGGGCAGGGTGGGTAGGCATTTTAAGGGGAAGCCTTACCTTGGTTTCGAATATAAATGTACATCGTTTTAAGGTGAGATGAATCTGGCCTCTTAGATCTTGGGGCACACTTTTGGGGTAATGAGAAGACAAGCAGGAGCCATTCTTAGCTAGTGCCTGTTTGGGGTCTTAGCTATAATGCATTTCCTGTTTTTATTTGTCTTTTCTCCAGAAGGAACAAAAATTCTGGACAGGATAAGCAGGCTCTTGGTGTTGGGGTGTAGCATGCTAGTAACACTGCCAAGAGCCACCTTGCCTGACCCTGCCCGCCATTCCTTAGGGACTGCAGGCAGGAGAGACACACTCCCCACTGTGAGGATGGGTCACCTAGGGCTCACAGTCAACCCCAGAGGCCATCTGTGTGGACAGTCGAGCACGGAGGCTGTGTGGCTCTGTAGTTCACTAAAGCCCAAACATGACCTATATCACCAGCTCCCCAGGGGAGCGGGTGAAATGCAGATTCCTGGGCTCCACCCCCAGCTCACTGAACTGCAGCTAAGTGGCTTGTCCTAAGCCACATGAGTTGAAAACAGTTTGTATGTCTGAACACTGAGGGATTTGATGTGGGACACCAACCTTTGATTCCTCCTCTCTACAAATTGCACCTGTCACTTTCACAGACTTGTATTACCCGGGGGGGGGGGGGGGGGGGGGACTACCCGTTATATTTTGAACTTGATCAATAAAAGAATTACAGGGGTGTGTGTATCTTTTTATTGTAAAAGCACCCGTGTTCTCAATTTTGCTTCTTGGTGAAGTTTACTACCTGGAAGGTTTGTCCATCTCTGTTTAGCAGGCTGGGGGAGGTCCCTGGGGTCTTGTGCTTTGATTTTTTTTTAGGTATGTGGCAAGTCCTACATTTGATGGTGCATTGTGGATTTTCCAAGACCTTCTGTATATACCTTTAAGCTGGTTGGATCCTCACAGAACTGAGCCCCAGCTCACCAGCCCCCGAGGAAGTAGTTCTCATTCCTGGCTCCCTGTGGAGCAACCCCTCTGCCTCAGAGGTAGAGGAGAACTTTAAACCACCAGATTCCAGGCTTTGAGGCCTACTGAAGGCAAAGCTGCTCTGTACTCAGTGGCTGGCGGCAGGATCAGCACAGATCATTGAAAACCCCAGGTCACCCCTGGCACCTCCTTCTCAGGCCTGCTGCTCCTCTACCGTGCATGCTTCCTGGGGAGACAACCCACAGCAAAGCAAGATGGCTTTGGGTTCAAAACCCTTGTCCAACTGCAGCTTCTTAATGCCTGAGCTACTGAGCAGGAGTGAGTGGAAGGTGACATTCCTGACAGTAGTTTCAGACCCTGTCCCCTCTCTTGGCTGGGGACACATCAGCAGCCTCTCAAGGTGACTTCCTTGGGACTCCTGCAGTTAGCCATTCTTCCTATTACGGCATAGTGGGAAAGGTGCCTGACTTGCTTCTAACTCACCATGCTGAAGGGCTGGGTGATGTTTACATCAGCTGTCTGCTCACCCCTCTTCCCTCTACTCTGGAGCCCAGAGCTCGTTGCTGAGTGGCTGTGATTGGCGTCTGATGCAATGAACTTGGTCCAGCATTCTGGCCTGAATTCTGACTTGGGGACTTTCCCTTTTGGACTCTTACCTCCTGGTACCACTCTCCATCAGTGCCAGATCTCATTACAGATGGTTGAGAGCCACCATGTGGTTGCTGGGACTTGAACTCAGGACCTCTGGAGGAGCAGTCCGTGCTCTTAACCTCTGAACCATCTCTCCAGCCCCGAACTTATATTACATTGGAATATAATTATACAACGAATACTGAACACCCAGCATGTTTGAGTGAAAGAAAGGGCTTCTGGCTGGAACAGAGGTAGTTACTCAGAACATTTCATTTAATAAAATCTGCTGAAGCCACATGAGCACATGGCCTTCATCCACCTTCCCAGACACAGAAACAGACTCCTTGTATAGAACCGATTGTCCAGATGATACTAGTGTCTTCATTCTGTGTGTCAAGCCCTGTCCTCTGCCATGCCCCACAGCACTGGGGCGAGGGGTGGGGCCTCAAACTGATTTTGTTTGAGCTCCATGCTGTGCAACTCCCCCATCCCCATTCTACCATTTTCTTTACCAAACTGGCTCCAGGTACCTGGTTTAAGAGATGACTCCCTACTCTACTAATTCCTTACTCTGGTGTATTTGCATTTTGAGAGTCTTTCTTAGTGAGGAAATTATTGAAAACTCTTAGAGACTTGGATGCACTCCTCAGCTTTGTCATTAACTGGAGTTGGACAAGTGGTTCAGCTTCTGTCTCGCCATCTAAAGCGAAGGGGTGTGTGTTTAGGGCTGGGGATGTATGTAATTTGCTTACTAGAGTGCCTGGCTGGAATAGACAGATCTCTAGGTTCTATTTTCCCTACTGCATAAACCAGATGTAATCCCAGCACTCAACTGCAAGCCCGGCACTTCAAGGGCGGAGGCTGGAGAATCAGAAGCTGAAGGCCATCCTCAACTACATGCTGAGTTCAAGGTTAGCCTGTGCTACATAAGACCCTGTCCAAATAAATAACGTGGGGGTGCTGAATTAGCTCAGTGGTATTCAGACTTTTTGAGCCCACTAGTAACATGATCCGTACTGTTGCCCAGCACATAATGTATGTATATACATACATAATACATACATACATATTTTTAAAACACACTTGATTCAATGAGAAGAAAATACGCTAGTTTAGACTCAAGTTGATTTCACTCTATTACTGTTTGAAAAATTAAAAGTTGGATATTAAAATTCCTTCAGCT